TGGCGAGAGCCCTCTCTGCGGCTTGCAAGCTCCCGTCTTCGCGGAGTCTTCATTTCCTGAACTCCTCTCTCCTTGCACCCTTGCCTTTCTGTTTTCCAGTTTGATAGACAGAAGAGGATTTATCCAGCCAGATGTCGGGACCCCATCCAGTCCGAAGAGCGAAATCCCTTCCTTTGGAGCCAAAACTGACACCAGCATGGTAGGAGGCATTCCCTAGCAGTGCTGTGACGTAGCCCAGTGCCTGCTGTGCCTACACCTCGCTCCAGCCTGTACATTCCCCTCTCACCATCTCCCCGGCCTCAGGCGGGACAGCCCTGTGATGCGGAGCTGCCAAAGACTCAGTCGAGCCATATGTTGCCTTTTTTTTTTTTTTTTTAAAATTTATTTATTATTTTTTGTTTATTTGTTTCACTGTGATGTGGCCTGTCTGGACTTTCAACTGATAGAGCCCAACAGCATGCAAGACCCTCTGCCTCATGCAGAGAGCAGGGGGAAGCAAATAGGTCTGGGGAGCCACCAGACCTCTGAGCCCAGAGCGTCTGATCCAGGGGGTCGCTGTGTTTCCTGCCGGGGGTAATGAGGTGGGCAAGGGTGGGAGGTGTAGGGACTGGCAGATGGTTCCCACTCTGAGCTGAGCTGTCACACCTCGTCTTCTGGGCTGGTGGAGCCGTAAGTTCCCTGGTATCCCTGTTATCTCCATGATCACGTTCTGCTTCCCTGTGCCGATGTGGAAAGGCTGTTCTGTCTCTTAATGGCCGGGTTCTCACCTCAGCCGCTGCCAGAGCGGCTTTTCTTTTCCAGAAGCTGCTGTGCCTTGGTAAGTTGGGGCTGTTCAGCTGGGAGGACTCTGGCTCCCAGCAGACATGGAAGGTAGCTAGATGTCCCCGCTGCTGTTGATCCTGTTTTCTGGCTGGTCACTGAGGGGGTGCTGCAGAGCTCTGTGTTTTGGCCCTGTCAGTCAGTAAGACAACGTTCTGCAGCAAGGACACAAGTTAGGATGACCCTCCTTTTAATGGGGAAGAAGAAACACGCAGCATTCTGTGGCTCTCGTCGTGAGATGCTTGTTGGCAAGGCTACAGTTATAAGATTTGGGAACCTTAGCGTGCCGGGAAAGCCTGGTTACGTCCGGTCTGTAGGAGACCAAAAGGCAACAGAAAAGTGGGTGAAATCCTGAGGGTCGCACCCTTCCCGGGTGGAGCTTCACAGAGGAAGCAGTGAGCTGGTCTCTGATAACCCCCTGTTGTGCTCTTGGTTTGGGTTTCTGGGTGGCAGACAAGAGCAGGGCTGTCCCCAGCGCCTTGGGAGTGACCCCCGTGTGCCTGGGCTCGGCCACGGGCATCGTTCCCTGCCTGCAAGGCTCGGGAAAGCCAGGCTGGGGAGCCAGCTCTGCCTCGCTGACACCGGGGCGTGCGCGGGGGAGAGTCACAGACCTTATAGCAATACTTGAATCGTGTTATTAAAAGCTGCTGGATATTTTTGCACAATTTGTAGATTTTTTAATTTTTTTTTTCTATGTAGAACGTTTTATATTCAGTGCACGTTAGCACTGGGGCAGAGGCTTGCGGCGTTTTCTGTCAAGCTGCCTGGTTAGGTTTCTGTGGGTCAGGCGGAGGAAGCACACTTATGGGGGCTTTTTTGTCCCCACTGAATTCACCAGCGTTGTGCTTTGCACGCTGCGAGTGACCGCACCAGCCCCCGTGCAGCTTCGGGACACGCTGGGGAGGGACGGCAGAGGCGGAAGCTTCCCCTGGCTTTACATTTCTGGCTGGCCGCAGCAGAGATCTCGGTGCTTGTTTGCTGTGGCCACCGTCTCTACCTTCCCCTCCACCGAGAGCAGCGGAGGCCGCTGAATTTCTACCGGATCCCGGCAGATGGCCCTCGCCACCCGGGGAGGCTCCCGGTGCTGCTCCGCC